TATTTTTTTAATCACAAGTTTGGGGTTTTTGAACCATATGATGCCCACCAATCAACTACAATAATCACTAGTTAGAAATAATTTTTGCCAAATATTGAGTATTACTAAAAGTATTACTAAGAATAAACTCTACGAGTCTATAATATTTTACCTGGTGCCTTTGTATTTCTTTGCCTAATCGCAACAGGCTTGCCAAAAAGGCTCTCTGCCCTCGTATAAATACTCATCTCATTAGTGATCAAATCTTGAATAGTGACATCCGGGACAAACCTTTGCATGCATTCATAAAATCCATTCATCACTTCATGATCTTTTTGCACCTCTACGCTTTTAGGTAAAAGAATCTTTGGTTAAGAAAGTGTGCAGCTGAATGTAAAGGCCGATGCAATTGGATATCGCACCTTTTGTCGATGATTTCGAAGATTCATCATATTTCTCTTCTTTATGATTAAACGAACTTGCAGTGCATTCTTTTGCCCTATCCATTGCCTCATAAATGTATCTCATGAGAGGTTTCTTCTCGGTATCAACCAATCTAAGCGCTTGGACGAGAGGACCTGAGACCTTATGGGCCAACACAACATTATTCCAAAATGAAGGCATCAACAAAGTATGTGCCATTCCTTTACCTTGTGGCTCCTTTGCCCATTTGCTTGAGGTCTAGTCTTCGGAGGTGATCATCTTTCTCAAATTGTTTTTTTGTTAATGCATCCTAGACAAAGTCAGAAAGGCGGTTGCAAATCTAGTTTTTGCAGGCTTGATCAAATTCTTCATATTTGTATAGTGCCTCATCATGTCTAGCAACGTAGGCCGATTGTAAATGTAACCATGTACTGCAATACCCCTTTCAAATGTCTTTTTCAGTCGGGGTATCTTGAAAATGTCTTCTAACATCTAGTCCAAGCAATGAGCAGCACATGGTGTCCAATACAAGTGTTCATACTTGGCTTTAAAAAACCTCTCTATAATGTAACAATTAAAAAGAATTATTATTTTCAAGTTTTTAAATTTTAACTACAAAACAAATTATGAGTAAACAATTTTGAAGTAAGGAAGGAGGAAAGATTCTTACCCACCAACACATTAGCTGTAACACTATTAGTGATAACTTGCACTACATTCTCTTTTCCAACTTTTTTCACAAACTTGTCTAGTAACTCAAATAGCTTTCTGCCCATCCTTTGAATAGCTCGAAGCATCAACTAACTCAACAAACATTGTTCCTCTTGGACAATTTACCAAAAAGTTAATCAATGTCCTCCCTCTCTAATCAGTCTAGCCATCAGCCATTACGGAACACCTGTATTTTGCACAATCCTCTTTATGATTCTTCATCAAATCTTTAGTATGTTTCACCTCTTTTTTGAGTTGGGTAACCCGCACTTCATGATAAGTTGGTGGCTTCATACCAGGACCATATTGCCCAATGGCTTCAATCATTGGTCCAAAACTCTTATAACTTACAGCATTGAAAGGGATACCAGCATCATACATCCACCTTGCAAATCTTTGTATTGCCTGAGCTCTCATTTCTTTTCTGCAAGGATCATTCTCATCAATTTGTGTTTGCTTCCCTTTTGCTTGGACTCTTTGATTTTTTACCACTGATTCAGGATTGGGTGTGAAGTAAACATCCATAGGCCTTTTTCTCTTTGCCATTTTTTATTTGGATTTGGATTTGGATGAACCTTGGCTTCTACTTGTCAACTTACGGCGTTGATTGACATTGATCTCAACAACATCATCTTCATCCTCATCTTCTATGTCCATGTCATCGAAATCAAGCAACATGTTTATTTCTTCTTTTTGCGTCTTCTTTTTTGACATGAACTCTCTAATCTCTTCTCTTACATGAGCTGAACACTCCGGGCAAGCAGTGACATTTTTATAACCTCCCACGAGGTGTTGTTTCACCCGATAAACACCTCTATTTGATACTTTACCACAAAAATTACGCTCAAAACTAGTTTAAATTATTAGGCTCTACCAAATGGGCATGTTGCCACACCGAATCTTTTCTATTACTTTCAGATGTTATTTTCTACACAACAAATTTAATAAATGGAAAATAATTTCAGTGTATTGTAATGTGTGATTAATTAATTATTTGTAATTTTTTTTCCCAAACAAAGAAAGGAAAAATAACTGACCAACATCACAGCAAAGGGAAAAAAAAAAAACAAAAAAAAAAAATACTAACAGAGACTAATATAAGTTTTATTTATTTATTTATTTTTCTTCTAATAGAGACTCAACTCAAAGAGAGAGGAAAGAAGAAGAAGAAGAAGAAGCAGAGAGAGTCAAAGCCAAAGTCAAACAAAAAAAGAAAAAAGAGAGCAAGTTGATAGTGAAGCAGAAAAAAAAAAAAAGCAACCAGCGAAGAAGAAGATGAAGAAGCGCTGACCTGATGAGTCGAAGTCGAAGTCGAGAGATGAGCCCAGAGGAAGAGACGACACAGATTTCTTCTTCGATAGATTAGGGATTTGAGTCGTATACTGATTTGGGTTGGGTTGTGTTGTATTATATGAGTTGTAATCCTATGTGGTTGGAGCCTCTCCCACACAGATCACAACCGTTAGATCAGAATAAAACCCCTTAGGCTCGCGCCTTGAGCTTCGTTGTGCTTGGTCCAAGTGGCGTCGAAGGTGCACGACTCATCAAATGCGCCTCGCCTTGGTCCCCTTCAGGTGCACTCCTTGCGCCTCGCTGCGCCTTGTGCCTAGGCGCGCTTTTCACAACACTGTGACTATGTAGCTTGTTCTTCAACCTGTCCTACTTCCCTTCGTTCTTTTCCTTATTTCTTCACTAATAACTTAATTAAATCTTAGTTTCTTTTCAATCTTCGACAATAGGTAGGATTACTACAAGAATTAGGCTTGAAATCTTACCTTAGGATGATTAAAAGATGGATTTTTGGTTGATTCTTCAAGGTTTCTTCTCCCCTCTTTCTTTCTCCTCTTCTTTCTTCTTCCTTCTCTTCTCTTCTCTTCTATTTTTATCTTTTCTTCTCCCTCTTTCTAGTGAAATCTGATTTCACTCCCCGCATTTGGCTTATTTAAAGGTAAGACAAAAGCTAGGTAGGACAAAGTTGGACATTTGTACAAAAGAAGAGATGAGTGTTTCACCTATGTGTATGCTTCACCAATTTTTCTAATTTCACTTGCTCAGCTTAGTTAATCAATTTTAGTTATAATTAGTCTTTAGTTAATTAAGATTCAACTTAATCTTTCTTAGCTTAATTAATCTCAATTAGGGTTCACTAATCCTACTTAATTAACACTGCTCCTGATTAGCAAAATGACGTATAGTATTAAAATGACAAGTACATTAGTCTAAGATCTTTAAGCTCCTCGATTAGTGCATAGGCACATCCTAGTAGGCACAAATTCTAAACTTAAGGTATCCCCTAACTCTTAATAATCTTCAAGTGTTTCTATTCTTAAGTTTGTCTCATCAAGGCATGTTTTTCACTTTTAAATTTCTGGCCAATTGTATTCATCTTCTAAGGTTTCATCTTATCAATTCATATATCTATCTCTAGGGTATAGTAAGGTGATTAAATTAAGGTAAGTATTTGGTTATGTCATGTAAAAATACTTTTGATGTAAGCTTGCTATGCTCAAAAGGGTGATTAGTTCCTAAGTCTTAACAGTTGATAGTGGGATTCTCATGTTCAAAGTTACCTAACTACTCATTTTTAAGCTTTTCCTTAAATATTTGTGTGGTAAGATGGTAAATTTGACTTAGGGTATTCAAGGATAGGTAATAATATAATTATAGCACGTGGCATCCTTTGGGGTGTTGCATTGGGGGAGCTTTTGGATCTGAAGTGGCGTTTATATGCCATCCGTACTGTAGATGGGGGTGATGCCCAATGGATGAGGAACAATTCAGGCCTTTTTAGTGTGAAGTCCTATTATGAGGTGTTTTTGGGCCATTGTGGTTCTACTTTCCCTGGGAGAGTGGTGTGGGGTATTAAGGCTCGATCAAAAATGCCTTTTTGTTTTGGTTTGGTGTGTGGTTTATCATAAAATGCTCACCTTTTTTTATTAGAAGGCAAGCACATGTGAACTAGTGTTGCATGTGCAAGCATGATCAGAGACGGTAGAGCACTTGCTTCTTTATTGTGAGGTGGCTTGGGAATTGTGGTTGTTGGTCCTCCTTTTGTTTGGTGTTACTTGGGTGTTTCCAACAAAGGTGAAGGATTTTTTTTTCGTTGGAGTGTAGGTCGGGTGGGTAAACGGAGGAAGGTTTGGGGTTTGGTGCAAGTGTAACATAAAATCTTTCAATTGTGTTCAGGGACCTATTATTAAAATTAAGAGTCGAGTCTTGTCTTTCTTGTACAGTTGGTCAGAAAATGATATATATAAGCCCACTTTCTAGACCTATTTTCTAGACCCAATAATGTGTAAGTGATATGATTGGTTGATGGTTAGGGAATGTATGAGAGAGTGTGTTGCCTTAGATAATCCTAATTGATTGCCATGTTATTGGGCTTGAAAAATGGGTCTAATTTTTGGGCTTGAATAGCAATGCTCATAGTTGGTCCACGGGGGAGGTTAACCCATCCGCAGACCGATTTTTGGTTCTTGCAGAGAGCTTTTGATAAGGTTTTTGATGTCCAGTTATAGGTCTTCTTTTGTACATGGGTTGTGAACCCCCTTGTGCCTTTTTTTAATAATATATTTGGTTAACATAAAAAAAGGGTAAAGTTACGTAGTCAATATTAAATTGTTCAGAATAGCTAGTTTTGCATGGGGTGTTGGTTGTGGAACCCATTCATAATTTGGTTTCAGCATCTTCTTGTAGTTCATGTCTTGTGTACATCTTTTTATCGGTTAGACTTTGTTATGTACATCTTTATTTTGATCAGTTAGACTTTGTTATCCTCTTTGTCAAGCATTTAATCGAGAATCAAGCACACATCTACTAATGCTGTTGATTGTCTTTCTACAAAATTATTCTTAATTCCTGATATCTCAGACCCGTTTTGTCTGTAGGCTCAAGAAGGTTTCTGTTTCGTCATACATTTGGTCGACTTCAAAGTGATGAGGTATTCTCCTCAATTGTCTTGAAGTTTTGTTAGTGAAATTAAGAAATTGATGCTCGTAGTTTTAGGAATTCAGTTTTCATCGACACTTGTATGTTGCACAAGAACAAGTATTCAGCTTCTTGGCTTTATGTGCATTGATAAATTGGGTCATATTGTCATAATCCAATTAAGCATTCAGCTCACAAATTAAAGCTACAAATATATTGCAGGCGCGGTTTCTTAGAGCTGAGAAGAATGTGAAAGAGTTGAACCTTTCAGTTGATTTAATGAAGAAAGAGAGTAGAAAACTGCTTGAAAGGGCTGCCCTTGCTGAAAAGGATATGAAACATGGCCAATCTGATCTAATGTAGAAATTGTTTCTGATCATATTTAATGCACGTGTAGCCATATTTGTACAATTATTTGTACCTGATTGTTTTTTGTAATATCGATAGGAATGCTGGAACTCAGATCCAACGTCTTGCGAAATCTGTTACCAACGTTGAAGTCCATACTTCTGGTATGTATATCTTTCTTTTAATAACATTTTTGCTGGCTGGTATGATGATGTTAGGGTCTTTACTTGGTCTTTGGGCCATTCCTTTTGCCATAGGCAGTGGTTTGTGCTGTGGTTTGCTCTGTGGAGTATTGTCAAGCCTAATCATAATTCAATGGACTTCTTATACTTGTGTTAGTATCAAAATGGAGGATGTTGTACAATAGGAGAATGAAGAATATTAAAACTAGATGTTCTGTTGCCAACTACGATAACATAGGAGATTGCAAAGGTTTTCTTTGTCTATTGTAGCATTATGAAGTTCAATTTTTTTATTTAGCAAAAAGATAGAAGAAAATTAAAAGGAAACAATTAAAATCTATTGGAGCTTGTGTTGCATGAAAGATTGTGTCACCATCCCTAAAAAAAAATAAATAAACAACAAAAAGAATAAAAACAAGAAAAAGGGTAAACTATCAATTTATCCCACCAACTTTGGTCTAGTTTTTGATATGACCCTCAAATGTTTAATTTTTCCATTTAAGCCCTCCAACTTTGCTCGAGATTCATTGGACCCCCTTAAACTCTTAATTTTTCTATGTGACCTCCAATTTTAATAATCTAGTCTATTGATAGATGTGGGAACAATGTTGTAAGTTCCTGTTCATTAAGAGAACTGGAAATGTGACCGTGTCATGGGTTAATAGTTCAATTGTTAGGTCAACCGGAGTCAGACCGCAATTGAATCACGACTTTGAAATTACATAATACATATTTAAAAATTATATATAAATATAAAATATGTAAAACATTTCCTATGATCTATGAAGCATGAGTGCTGGTACGGATATTAGTATGGGTACACTAATACAGCAAGACCTAAAAAAAAATAAGATACGGGCACGACTGGAGTACTTCAATAAATTTTTTATTTTTTTATAATTTATAGTTTGGGATTCAACCTACAAATCAAAGTGTAATACCAAAACTAAAAGAAGAAATTACAAAATTAAAAGAGAAATTATAGTTTAACAATATGAATACCAAAACAAAGTCTATAAGCTATTTTAATGGCCATTAAATAGGAGAAATTACAAAATAAAGTTTCATTTCAAAAGCAAGTTAAGCAAAATTTAGAAACTTGAAATTTTAATTTTCACTTCCATTAATATCATCATTGAATAATACATTTTTTATTTATTTATTTCCGATGTATCAAAAAAAAAAATACATTTTTCATCTCTAGCACATTAAGTAAAGGATTTGCAATTTAAAATAAATAAGAATTCTTTAATAAATTAAACATGTCTTCACCAATGTCTCATAGCTTGGTGTACCCTTGATGTACCCAACCCGTACCCACGAAGTACCCAAGTGCCACAGAAGTACGACAATATTTTCGGAGTAACCGTGCTTCATAGCCTAAGATATTGGTAACAATTTTTAAAGCTAAAGTAGGTAACCACATTGGTTAATAAGTTTATTTGCTTCAACCATTATACAATTTTATAACAAAATCAAATTAAATACAAGTAGCATCGGATTTGCACTTTTACAGTATATATTCATTTATAAATTTAAAATAAAACTAATCTATTTAGCACATCAGAATGCAACTCTTGGATTTTAAGAACTTTAAAAGCAGCTCCGAGATTTTGTATCAATATTAACAACCTTGAGTTCGGACCAGCCTTACATGTCAAACCAACAAATTCATGTATTGGAGAAACATGAAAGAAGTAAAGAATGACGGTTGATGCTGTCAGGCCAAACGTAAAGTAGTGTAAACTTTCCTTCTTACAAATTGGACAAATGTAGTGACACATAAAGAGATCCAGTCCAACACCATGGACCTGTTTTAAACAAACCTTAATCCCATTTATATACCTACTTAAAATTTAGAATAATACATAAAAAATATAGATTTGTTATATGTTATCTCTGAAACATGAAATACAGAGGTAGAAGGATAGGGGAACCAGAGACAATGGGGAAGAGGAGGATGGGAGGGGGAGGGGGAGGGTGAGAGGAGAGTGGGTACCATGGTGGAGGCTGGAGCTGGACTTGACGACCAGAGACACAAGACAGCAGGAGATGATCGCAAGAGAGCCTCGATCACTGGGGAGAGAGAGAGAGAGAGCGCTTTGCTTGCCGAATGTTGGGATTGTGTCGCCGCTGCTGGTTGTGGATGAGACTGTGAGAGAAGAGAGCCTGACAGCTACAAGATGAGAGATTGAACCTTCACGTTGTTTGCCAATGATAGAATGAGAGGAGAGATAGAAATGTAAAAGTGAGATGAGAGCTCTAATTTTGGAAAAAAATTGTAGGGGACATCATATTGGCTAGTTAAGATGACCCAGTACTGGTTCAGTAGGTTTACCGATTAAACCTGTAGTTTGAACAGTTTTGCAAAAATACTCTGGTTTTCAATCTAGAACGGTTTTTATGGGTTATTTGGACCGGAACTTAGACTAATCACAAATTCAACTAATTGAATTGGCCAGTCCGGTCCGGTTTGGTTTTTAAAACCTAGTGTGGAAAAACTATTGTTTGCTTCCTAATTTGTTTAATTTTAAGATAAGATTTAAATTAAGAATATGATAGTTTAAATGTGAGGAGAAAAAAACATGCAGTGGAAACTATTAACAGTTTTGGATTAAATTATTTATATTTCAGGACAGAATTATAATTTACCCTAAATAGGGAACTCATTTGTTTGCGATTTTGCCTCCATAATTTTGATTAATTTTTTTCTCATTTATTTATCATTTTCTTAGTGTAAACCCTAAAATTAGGTCATAGGAAGCATGTGCTATAAAATGATATATTTTTTTTAATCCAAATAGTGGATTGGCCTACATTGACTTAATTATGAAAGTTGGAAGGCTTAAATAAAATTAAAAAAAAAAAAAAAATTAGTAGTCTGAGGTTTACATTAAAATGTTCAAAGGTTGCATTGAAAAGTGTTAGAATTTACCATAACCCACTCCACCTACCACCTCCACTACCACACACTCCACCTACCACCTCCACTACCACCTTCACCTACTCCCAAATCCTCTCATATATAAATCCTTATAATATACACAACAAATCACAACATCTATAACAATCAATAATATACATCAATTTATTTTTTACATGGTATCAGAGCAAGGTTAATAACTTAGTCATTCTGCTTCACCGGCGGGCGGCAGTCTCGCTTTGGCCGCCCGCCGGACCTCTACACATACCTTCCATCCGCTGCCAAGTCCGGCTTCGCCACTTGCGCCATCGATCACCAAGGCCCACGGCTCTCTCCCTCAACCAAATCTCTCTCTCTTCATACACAGACAACCTATCTGCAATGCCTCAGAGTGATGGAGACTCCAACTCCAACCCTATTCTGAACCCAATCAAAGCCGAGAGGCCACTTCTCAAGAAATCAAGGACTATTGCGGACGATAGTCGGACCCCTCACTTCCCGGGTCCTCTCTTCCCAACCGTCCGTCGCATCTCCACCTCAACGCCGTCGTCTCACCGCTCATTCGATCCGGACACCACCTCCCCCAACACCGACCCCTTCGGGACTCAGGGCGACCGCGACTGGATGTTCCCTTCCTTTCTCGGCCCACACACTTCTCGCAGGCGCGTCATCGTCCAGTCCTCCAAGTCTCAGAAGCAAGAGCTCTCGCCTCGCTCTCCGGCTCCGCCACCCGCTCGGAGCGCTTCCATGCCGGCGAACTGTGGCCAGTCAATCAAACGGTCCACCAACTGTTCCAGAGCTTTGGTCCCAAACACAAACATTTTGGAATCTGCAGGTTTACGCAGTGACTCCAGAACACCTCGGAGGGCAATACCAAGGGTGAGATGAGTCACAAGCTGATGCTTGATGAGAGAACCAAAGAGCCCTGTGCTTCTTTTTCTTTTATTATTTAAAAACACCACTTAGTTGGTGAGCCCCTTACACACCCTTGTTCTCCACCTCCCTCTTTTTCTAAATTATTCGGGTCCTGACAATGCTTGTTCTCCACCTCCTTCTTTTTTCTAACCAATATTTTTTATCACCGCCAATCCATGATTTCAATTTTTTTATTATATTATTCTTACTCCGCGTTCCTACATTCTCATCAATTTTTTCTTCTATATATATATAATACTTTCCACCACCATCTACTTTCCTATTTCTTTCTTTTTTTTATATATTTACTTATCCATCTTCTGACAAGCCCAAGTCACACAAAGCAAACCCATCATTTTCCTTTTCTCCATTAGTGGTCCGGACCCGCCTCACCACATTTGAATCTCCCATTTTTTTTTTTTAATTTAAAAAAAAAAAAAAAAAAAAAAAAAAAAACACAAACCGAAGCAGAAGCCACTGCACACCACACTCTTTTTATTCATGTCGGGGCTCACCCCGCTCACCAATTTTACACCCAAAAAAAAAAAAAAAAAAAAAAAAAAAACCACAACACAAACAAAACAACACACACCCACACGCGGATTTTTTTTTTTTTCTTCTTCTACTCCTGCTGCAGGTCTCTTTCTTCTTGCCTCCGTCCTGGACGGCCCTTGCCGGTGTTGCTCCGTGTTTCCTTGTCCACCGAGCACGTTCCCTCCATACTCCTCCCTGCAGCATATGGCGGTACCTCCAAATCGAAACATGACGGTGGCCTTCCGCTTCAGCTCCTTGTTTTCCTGCTTTCAGCACACTTATCTCTGCTCCGCGCATCCTTATACATGCGTTGGAGCAGAGCCAGTTGGGCCGTTTTAAATGCTGCACCATCATTTGTCCTAACTCTAGCAGCCGGGTTCGACAAGTTTGTGACCGCGCGTTAGCTTTCCACACATGCCTTCAAAGATACTGATTGGCCTCCACACTCTGACTGCACTGCCATTCTTTGCTCCACCGACCGCATCGAAAGTTCAACGGAGCAAACCCGGGGCGCTTGTGTTGAGATTCCAGTGCCACCTTGCACCAGTTCTCTCGCTTGTTGACTCGTTGAGGTCGGGAAAGAGGGTGAGCAGCCCGCGGGAAGACGATGAAGCCATTTTCTAGGCACCAGAGGTTACAACAGTATCTCTCTCAGAACTTCTCTCATCAGAAAACAGAGTGTTAACAGAATCTCTCTCCAAAATCTCTCTCAAGAATATCTCTCGCAGGTTTTTTTCCTCAGCCTCAGCCTCAGCCTCAGCCTCCGTCTTTATAGCCGAGGCAAGCCACGCGCATCGCGCGCCTCTTACCACCAGCCGACAAACGGGCGCGCAAGCCAAGGCGCCACGTGCCTCGCATCATGTCCGGCACACCTTTTGATGAATTGGGCACGCCTTTTGATGGCATGCTTTTGAAACGAATTGGGCCACACCTTTGGAGGGTGCGACTTTTTAAGGGTCCCGACAGACTCTTGTAAACTGTCCCGACATTGATTCCGGTTAGCTCCTTCATGGGTCCGACAAGACTCTGTAAACTTGTCCGACATTGATTCCGGTTAGCTCCTTCATGGGCCGACAAGACTCTGTAAACTGTCCCGACATTGATTCCCGGTTAGTTTTACAATGGGTCCAGCAAGACTTCCGTAAACTGTCAACAACATTGACTTTTTCAACGGTCCGACATGACCCCATAAACTGTCTTCTACATCGGTCTGACACCGTCATCCAGTGTCCTCTACACGTTATGACACCACCATACAGTGTCCTCTACCACGTTATGACACCCCCATACAGTGTCCTCTACAACGTTATGACACCTTCACCAACGGTCTGACACGACCATACAGTGTCTCCTATCTTCTTTTATTTTTATGTATTTTCTTGTTTTGTAACTCTCTCCAAACTCAAGTTGGTTAGTTTCTATCCTCCTTGAGTTTGCGGGGGGCTGTTAGAATTTACCATAACCCACTCCACCTACCACCTCCACTACCACACACTCCACCTACCACCTCCACTACCACCTTCACCTACTCCCAAATCCTCTCCTATATAAATCCTTGTAATATACACAACAAATCACAACATCTATAACAATCAATAATATACATCAATTTATTTTTTACAAAAAGTAAAAGGGAGGGCTTAAATAAATAAATTAAAAGTTTGAGGGACATTGAAAATTATAACAAAGTTGGTTGAGAGAGGGACTAATTGATAGTTTACGCAGAAAGAGAAAAACGGGGGGGGGGGGGGGGAGAGAGAGAGAGAGAGTGTTGTATGCACACACAAATGCACGTTCATAAACAAAGGCAGAGATGTGGGAGAAACTCTGTTGCAGCATGTTATTGGTATGGCCTAATCACGAATGTAAGGTACATATCTCCTAATCTTTCCTTGTTCATAGTGTTTGATTGTTTTGTTTCTAATGTATATTTTATTTTACTTGTGCATGCTTGTCATTGTCATTTGATTTCATTTTTTCTGGTTTTTCCAAGGGGTGGGGTTGATTTGCATTAGGTTTAATTAACACTTTACCCCTCTCAATTATCATTGAATATCATTTGTATCTTTTTTTTTAAATTTTTATTCCCAATTGGTACAAAATTGATCTCGTGTCACTTCTTTTCTTTTTTCTTTTTTTTAAATTTTTTTCCTGTAGAATTGATGGAAGGATTGCGAGAAATTCCTGGTAGGGAGGCTTTGAGGCTTCGAGCAGAGGCAAGTACAACAATGCCATTCTCACACACATATATATTCTTGACTTCATTGTATTCAACAGTGTTTGTGTGTGTGTGATCAGGTTGCTTCTACGGCATCACTTCTCCAACAACAGAGGATTGCTATAAACAAAAGGATAATGAAGATTTCAGAATTAGGCATACCTGTTTGATTTTTTTTCTGTCAGTTTACTTTTCCATTATCAATGGCTCTGCACAAGTGTTTCGTTTGTATGACTTTTGTTCTTGTAATATGCATACAAAATAAATGAAATACTCGTCTTTTAGTTCTAAAGACGTTTTTTGACATATTATGTTGCATTTGGATTAGTGAAGATTTTTTATGGATAAGTTTGGTTGGCCTAACTAAGGTTGCTTATTGCTAGCCACTGTGCTTGAGAAATACATTAACAGATGAGCTTGATACTTAAACTTCCAGTCCAAATAAAAATCATTTGAAGCCCGAATGCTCTAACTGGGCAATAGTATAATATGAATTAAAAGCATTTTTACTGAACAACAATATCTTAATAAAAAATAAGGTGCTCAGGGTTCGTGTGGGTGACATGATTCCAAATCATGTCACCCGATGGAATGGGGTTTAGGTTGAGAAAAATTCCATTCATAGCCAATCTGCTGAGGTTTCGAAATTGACTCTGTGGATTGAGCGGTGGATTGGCTGGTCGATACGAATAGGGTTGGTGGATTAAATAAATTTTAATTTTACAAAGAAAAAAAAAATTATTGAACAAATCTTATTTGACAGGAAACAAAATCTTTTTATATTTTTTATTTTTTTGAGAACAAAGATAAACAGATGTATTAGAAATTAGGGAACCTTTTCTTTTTTTTTTAGCAGGTTTTGTGTGCAGGTTGGACAATAGACCTGTGCACCTTGGATATATCTACAAAAAGAAATGAACTACCACAATTCTTTATATCCATGATAACAGTCGCAACAGTCCAATTCGGATAAGATATGCCATTAAGAACATTGACGGACACTTTTTGAGTTTGTAAAGATAGATATGCACCGCATCCCCTGTTCCCAAGCCCACTGTAAGGCATCCAAACATGCTCTAGCTTCGGAAAGGAAGGGGGATGGAAGGTGAAGTGGTTTTTCACTCTGGGCAATCTGCTCCTGGTTGTGATTGTAGCAAACCCACGCAGAACCTGCCTTGTGACCCTCCATTCGCGAAGAACCAGCGACAAAGAACGTTCATACCTGAAAATCATCAATTTTATGCAAAGAATTGAAAATAACACAGCAATAGAGTCAACTCTTGCCTGAACCACCAAGCCAGTGTCGTCCATGTTTTTGGATTATGTTGAAGCAATTAATTCTTGTGCATGACTCACAGCAAGACAGGTAGGAATCTTAAGGTTTTGGAATAACACACTATTCCTCTACTTCCAAATCACCCACAACGAAGCAATGGAATGAATGATCACCTCCTTATCAGGAACAATCTCAACTCACTTTCTAAACCAATCAATGAAGCTGACTGGATTATCACATGTAAAATCTAAGCCCAGAGGGCTAGCACGCCAGATTCTTTGAGAATCAGGACATTGAAAGAAAATGTGTTCTAGCATTTCAGCGTCCTTTGAGCACTATGAACAACAACGATCCAAATCAATTACCCTTTGCAGCGAATTTCATTTAACCGGAAGAATATTATGAAGACATTTCCAAAGAAAAAAAAAAAAAACATTTTTAAGGGATGTTTAATTTCCGAGGCCAAATCCACACATTATGTGGAACAACGACAACAGTTGGGGCCCCTTCCATACGACCCAGCTCTAAAGCACGAATATAGCCGGACTTGCCAGAATATTTCCCATTGCGGGTAAAACCCCATATGGGTATTATCACATTCCGAAGGAAAACTCAATCACCAATAGTGGGAATAATGATCGATAAAATGAGATAGGGATATAGAGAAGGAAACAAGGTGGACAGATTACGTCCACTTATAGGGGTTGACATCGAAGGAATCCACTGGCTTCTAAGGGATTTATGGATTGGCCATCACCCACCACCCAACGTAAACTAGAACAAGTAAGATCTCTACCCCACAAAATGCTTTTCCATCCCCACGAGGCATTACTAGAAGGGTTAACATAGTGAAAAGGTGAAGATTGACAACATTTGCCAATCAAAACTCGTGACAATAAACATTTAGGTTGTGAAAAAATCTTCCAATCTTGTTTACAATAAATAAAATAAATCAATTGCTGAAAAATATAGAATAAATAATAAAATAAAGCATTATTCAAGGAAGTGAAAAGTGTTGTAGCTATAACATGTCCTCTACCAAAAGATACAGTTATCCATAAAATAGGCACAAGTACGTAGGTACATAACAACAAACCTATGATGATCCACTGTCTGAAGGAAAATCAAATAATCCACCCTCATATCTATCAAGGAGGTCATGAACCTGCCTTAGCAAATTCCTTTGTACTATCCTCTAATACTACACAAGCAACTGCAACAGCTGATACTTAGTAATTAACCAAATTCTATCACAGATGTCAAATGTATTAAGCCGTTGAAACAATATCTCAACTTCATTTTTAAGCTGTAAGATGTTACCAACAGATTCAGTTGTAACATAAGAATGAAAGCACCGGACGAAGGCACGAAGGTGCCATGCATGGTTCTCTTGAATTTTGAGGAGAAGCAAGAATATTTTTTCCAGAACAATGAACCCCAATCAAAGACCACATTTTTTCTTTCATGGCAACTGAAAATGCTGAGCCAGAAGATCATGAAGAAGGGCAACATGCAAAGGAAAAGAGAATTTTAAAAGAGAAATAAAATGAGAGAAAAACTGTTATAAAAATAAAAAATAAAAACTAATATGTAATAAAGTTTTTGTTTTGGGTTAATTTGTAAATATGTTTGCAAGTTGCCCAACTTGCATGGCCCAACTTGCCTCTGTACATGCTTCTGTATCAGATTCATGTATAAGCCTACCCGTTATGTGGCTGTGTTTCATTGGTTGGCAACCAAGCCTATATAAAGGCATGTATGCATTGTTTGAAATCACACCAACAGAGCAAGCAATACAAAGCTCTCTCTCTCTCTCTTTCTCTGTCTCTCTCTAACTCTAAAAATCTCTCTTTATATTTTCAGGTCTTGCAATATCTCTCTCTAGATTTGTGGTCCCGCCATAATTCACACAATACACTTTGCACCCACCATATTTTTGGTATCAAAGCCAAACCCTTTTTTGTTCATACTCTACTTTAAACCTTGTCCATGGCATCAAACTCAAACACCACTACCTTCAACTATACTTCCAATCAAATACCCATTTTTGATGGGGAAAATTATGGTTATTGGAGTATTCAAATGAAGACTCTCTTTATTTCTCAAGATCTATGGGAGATAGTGGAGAAAGATTTCCTTGTTCTAGGAGATCATGAAACATTAGCATCGTGGACACAAGGCAAACAAAGGAGTACAAAGAGAATAACAAGAAAGATGCAAAGACGTCACTCAACATACAACAAGGGGTAAGCAAAACTATTTTTCCTAGGATAATTGGTGCAAAATATTCTTGAGACGCTTGGGAAATCTTAAAACAAGAAGGTTAAATCCCCAATTTATCTCTCGAGGAAGAATCCAAAGACAAATGATCAATGTGAGACAACAAGGAGGTTAAATCCCCAAAATCTCTATCAGTGAGATTTCTAGCAAATCTTAGATTCCATGCAATTGGAGCCAAACTAGAGTAAGCCAACGATGAAATGGAGAAACCATGAGAATCTGCAACCCTATAATGACCCGGGAAATCTGTAGCAAAAGAAGAATTTCTAGCCCAAATATCCTTCCAAAATCGAATAGACTCCCCAATTTGCACCCTTAGTGAGATAAATCTAGCCAAAAGAGGAAAAATGTGAGATATCGATTTCCATGGAGATCGACAATTACCCAGCAAAACCACATGACTAGATCTACCATCATCATGAACCCCAAATAATACCAAATTATCTTTGTGAACATTTCATCTCCCCTCAAATGCACAACCCCACACCCCTAAAAACCATTATCTCTTAAACATCCCCCCCTTTAAAAAAAATTTTTAAAAAAAAAAAAAAACCTCCCCAAAACCCATTCTCTCTCTCAAGAAGGTGGAAGAAAATTATTTCTAAAGTGAATTGATCGGTGAAAGGAATGTGTTCTCTATGATCTTCACTTTTTCTTTGCATTGGGTGCATATGTCTTCCTCCAAATCCATCCATTTCTTTGATCAACCCTAAACCCTAAAAACAATGGATATAAATACATATATATATATATATATGTGTATGTATAGTTCTCGCTCCTCCCCTATCCTCCGAAGTCTCTCTCCTCTCTCTTTCACTGAGAATGTTCGGACCTGTGTTTCTGAATAAATAAGCTATGTTCGGGCATGTGCTCCTGAACAAATAACTAATGTTTGGGCTTGTGTTCCCAAACTTGATAAAACAAAAACTCCTACAAATATGAACAATTTTAACCCTTCAAAGTGTATCAAATTTCCATGTTCGAACTTGTGTTCCCGAACAAATAACCAATGTTCAGGTTTGTGTTCCTGAATTTTGATCATATATTCAGGAGTTCAGTACCAAAAAAACAAGAACAGTTTTACAACTGTTGATGTGTTTTTCAAGAAACTTATCCTTACAAGGCCAACCTCCTTCGAGCTGAGAACACTATCAAACCTATGAACCTCTTCCAAACTTACATTGTTGTACTCCTCTCGTCCCATGAAGTTGTGATTGCTGGAAAAATTTTCACTCATTGCCACTGCTAGAGAAGTGTGTGTAGTCGAATGGTTTCCATCGTTGTCGCCGGAATGTCACTGCCGGAGAGTTTTCAACGTTTTGAGGGTAGGATTTGGAAAGATGGATGGGTGGTGATGGAGGTGGGTGCTCTCATAAACCTTATCTCATGATTTAGTGGGTGTGTAGGCCCAATTGTGAGATAGGGTGTCCCAAAATGATTAATGTCCTCTTTAGTAATTTCATTTAAAATTATTATTGTAATAAAAAAAAATCAAAAAATAAGGGGTCCAAACTAATAAATGGGATGCTAATAGCAACACTCATATTGAAACACCCCAAAAGTTCATAACCTTGAATAACATTAATTAAATTCCTAATCACTCCTTTAGTAGATACCCATTATATATATGTGCCAAAAACAATGTAATACCTAATTGCTCAACACTCTCATCATAATCCAAAACAAACTCCCTTTCCATTACATTTCATCATTTGAAATATGATAATTTCCAAAAGATTCACATGCATTAATACATTCAAAATATTCTTATCTTGATTCTATTCCAAGTGAATAGCTAATACAACAATGTAAATAGCAAGTAAAATGCCCTATTGGCTTACATCTTTTAAGGTTGAAACCTTGTTACAAAAAGAGGGTCTCAACCCATACAGTTTAGCTCAAATTCTTTACAAAAAATGAACAACAAAACAGGAGCCTTCTTGAGCTTAGCATGTATATGATCATGAATGCAAGTGATGTCATTTCATGTCAAAATGTTTTCCTTGCTCGTAAATGCGATAATGCATTCCCTCCAAAATAAATCAAGTTCTGAACAATTCATAAACCAATTATTAAATCACAAATAACATTATGGAAATCCCTAGGCGATGTGTCTGCAAATAGTCTATTCAGAACTACCAAAAATTCGCATTTACTAGCTATTAACCAGAAGGGCAATTGGACACTCGACTCTGTGTTGGTTTCCGGACTTCCACCGAGGACCTCAAGCCAACTTAATCAATTTACAAACATTTTCTACACATTTTGGATTTAACCAAGTTATTTACTTCAATTAATGAACATTTTCCAATTGTCTCCCGAGAGAGTCCCAAAGATGATTTCTCAAAAGATGTCCAACAAAAACACATGAGAAAAATATGCAATGCCAATGTGATGTATGAGTTGTAACAGTTTCAACTTTTCCTAGTTTCCAATTCATTTCTACAACAATCATGCAATCCTCCGCCGATTGCCAAAAATAGTTATCTTATCGAAGTATTTCATAAATGACAAAAACAAAATCATTTTCATCAATACATATCAACAACTCCCAACAATTCATGAATTTCAAACAGTTTCAATAACTCAACAATATTCCGTTTTCCATGAAGATTCTCCATTTCCAATACAAATTCACATTTCTCAAACCAAATTTCAATATACAACCAAAAACCCAAATTTCCCATTTTTCGGGTTTTCACAAAATTTAGGGTTTTCTCATTTTACAAGTCAAACCTTTGAAATCAAGATACCATTCGCTAATTAGAATATGAACTTCAATATTTTAAAAAAGCCCTAGGTTTAATACTATATAGCTTTACCAAAGCCCTAATGAATCCCAAAATCCATAGCTACAAAATACCACATATCCATGAGAATATGAACACACTAGAGTAATATAAATCCCTACCTCAACTAGAGGAGGGAAAAACCCCAAAAGTCGACTGTGGCAAAACAACGATCTGCTTAGATTAGAATGGCCCTCAACAAGCTCTACAATCTAACTCAAAGGAGCAAGGTGAGGGGATGATTTGGAGTGAGTAGATCAGAGAGTTTTGTGCGAAAAGCTAGAGTTTGAGAGAGAGAAAAGGTGGGTTACGAAGTAAAGGAAGAAAAGAGAGAGAGAAAGAGAGAGAGAGAGAGAAAGAAAAAGTGAGGAAAGAGAGTGTTTGAGGGTCTATTTATAGTCCTAGGACAATAGTGGTTATTAGCCCCAAAAGTCAATTAAAATAGAAGTAAAAAATCCAAAAAATTTAGGCAAAAAACGCAGCTGAAATTTCTAAGTTTCTGTCAAGTGTCGACATCTCAAGGAGGGGTGTCGACACCACAAAGCCCAGGTGTCGACACTAGAAAACAGTGTTGCACCCAAAACACTCAGGTCAAGCGGTGTCGACGACACCAGGAAGAGGTGATTGTCGATACCAGAAAGCATGTCGATACCAGAAAGCAGAAACATCCTGAGAAAATAAAAAAAAAGAAGCAGAAACTCTCTTCTTCATTTCTTCTTCTCTTCTTCTCTTCTATTCTTCGTTTTCTTCTTTTATTCTTCTTCTCTTCATTTTCTTCTTTTCTTCTTCTCTTTTGTTTTTCTCTTCTTTCCCTTTTTCTTTTCTTCTTTTATATTTCTGATTTAGTTTCTCTCTCTTCTTTTTTTTTTTTTCCTTTCTTTTTATTTTAGTAGCCTTTTTTTTTCCTTTCTATTTTTTTGGTATGCTTATTTTTTTTTTTTTATAAAAAAAATCAAATTTTATTAAAATCTTGTGGGTACTGTTTTTATTAATTTTAAACATATATTAATTTTTTTAATTTTTTTATACATATATTAAATAAATAAAATTCTTTATATTGAACGTATCCTCAGCGTGTCGTATCCCCTGTTTTTTGAAAATTTACGTGTCCGCGTATCCATATCTTGTCCGTGTCCGTGCGTCATTGCTTCCCTCAATTATATTTTCCATTTTTTTCCATCACTCCTTATAACTTATACACAATACTGACAATGAGATGAACTGCTGAAAAGCAGGAGACAAAGGTGCAAAAAGAAGTTGAAATGACCAGTCTGCAGCACAGCATGAAATGCATTGAAGATAAGCATCATAAAGCTATACAAGAAATTAATAAGTTAAATGAAAATTAGAAGATCTTACGAGGATACCACCATCTTCCAGCAAGAAACTGGAGGATTCCCATCTATCTTTTGAACTTGAAGTACACCACAATCTAAGAAATTGGAAAAAAGATCGGAAATGTCACAGTGGCTCCCTCATCAACGTTACCAAGATTTATGAGGTCCACCATTTGCAGAACAAGAAAATCTGGAGTAGATCACCAAACTTCAGAAGAAACAGACCGAGTGCCTGCAAGAATGAGAAGATTTGTTGCTTTACCTATAACAGGTATGACAGAATACAACTCAGAGAGCAGTATTTCCAGAACTAGCTGCCTGGTTGGTTCAAAATTGAAATGTGGTTCAGACAATGAAACAGAAGGCAGCCAAGTCAAATCTGAATTTGATATAAAAAAGGTCATTTTCGCACCAATTTAATTTCCCAAAATTAATTAATGTTGAAAATTTCCTCAATTTACATAAGAATGCATATGGTACTAGTAGTTACACTCAATGGAATAAGCCAGTTCTAGCAATCCCTAAACCAGAGAAGAACAATAAGAGTTATCAACAAAGACTACTGGAACAATTACATGATGAGGTATATGATTACAATCTTTCAAAGAAAAGATCAAGCATGATGAACTGAAGAAACTGACTGACGGAGCTGTTGGAAGGTCCAGATCAAAAGAGGTGGCTGATTTTATGCCGACAGTGCTCAAAGATTTCAGCAATAAATACTCTACATCCAACTCTAATTCTCCAATTCACACAATTGATGGCATATTAATGATACAAGCAGAACGTGAGGTAGATGACTTTTCAATTGAGGAATATGTTTGTAGTATTTTTACACCACCTGATACGTGGTGTGTTGTTAAGAAGAAAAAAGGTGAACGTGAAGTTAACAGAATGACAATGGAACTGATAGCATATGAAAAACAATCTTCAGAGGCTCTGATGTTAAAAAACAGTTGGGCCAGCACTCATTCTGCATCAGATGCCAGTGGAAGTATCACTGATGTAATAGAAGATTTTGGTGTTTCCATCTCAAGATCAGAGCTAAAATCACCTCATCAAAAGGTACCCACTGAAATTGGTAAAGACAGTGAAGAGGAAGAAGTGCATGTCTCTTCTCAATACTCTGAAGCTGGGAAGTTGCAACACCAAAGTTTGCAAGTGGACAAAGCAAATCAAGTGGATCTTGCAATGTCCATTTTTCAATCACAAGGAAAAACAAAGAGCACAGGTGAGAATTCTGAAGCTCACTTAACTGATTCTCTCTGTCTTTTTTTTCTCCCTACTATATGTTTTTACCACAAAACTAAGTTAACTGTTTCGCAAGCAACGTTCAATTAACACTAATTTCTAGCAAAAGTATGAAATTCTAGCATCCAATTAACATCTAATGGTTTCCATGAAATTATGAAATTTTAGGTACATTATCTTACATTTTGTTGTTATTGCACCTTGTTCAGGGATATGCGATCCTCTTAAACAGAAAATCCAGATTTTATGCGCCTGTGCTCTTCTAGGATTGGGATTTCAAAGCTTGGGTCTTGAGCATGACTTCTTTTATGCTTTAATGCTTTGAAGCAGCTTCCTTGGCTGATAATTCTAGTTCAGTGATCAAGAGTATCCTCCTGTCAATTTTACAGCATGTGGATCGGGCTGGAAGACAGATTGAACCTTTATAAAACCTAAATACCATGATGTAAAAAATATATGTATTATTGATTGATGTTTTTATGTATTACAAGATTGATTTATTACAATTCCTATACAATCTATATATAGAAGAAAATGTGGTAGTAGGTGTAGTGGAGGTGATAGTGGGTTAGGTGAAGTGGAGTGTGTGGTGAAGTGGAGGTAGGTGAAGTGCGGGTGACATTAAACCTCACACAACCTCAATGTTAGCAACAGTCTCCATATATTGAAAGCAAACTCCCAACAAGCATGTATAGACTTATGTGGCTATAAGAATACTATTATATGAGCTAATTAATAAAGTGATTTAAAGAAATTCTGCACCAATTAATGGAACTGGGGAGACCGCACATTTTGAAAGAAGAAAAAACCAGGTTGTGGCTGAACAGCTATCATTAGGTAAATGTGTATCTATGTATTTATATTTCTGCACATCTTTTTTTTTTTTTTTTGATAAATTATATTTCTGCACATCTTAATGCATCAAGTTCATATAGATATAGTAATACATGCACAGGTTGGGAGAATTAACTGCCGCTTTTCATAGAAGCCTTTTGGCAATAAGCCACTTTATTTGCATATATGCTTCATACTACTTACCAAGGATAAAAATGAAGTTTCATGGTTTTTAATGTAATTAAAAAATATTATATAAAAAGTGTTTCATTAGCCTATTAAAAACATGATTTGTGAAGTCCGATACCTAATTGATCAATATAATGCCGAACTCCAAAGAGTTGTGGAGGAAAGATGTCGAGCATTACGTGCCCAAATAGCTTCTTAGTAAGGATTTATGGGAAGCATGAGGCAGCATTGCTTGACCAAAATCTTTTCCTAACCCTTCTCCAACACCAACTGAATTGAAGCATGCTATGTGACCATTTCCTAGAAGAGATTAATTTATTCACGGTTCATCCGTAAATGGTGGGTTTTATGGCACCCACGCAGAAATTTGCAGGTCAGCAACATTTTGAAGGGGAAGGAACAAGACACTGTACACCAATAACAGGGAATTAAATCTCTAAGAGAGCTTTTTTTTTCCCTTTCTTCTACCTGTTTCATTTCTTTACTCCAGTTTCAACATCCGTATCCCTTAGAGAGGGGCTTCAACATCCATACCATTTGATTCAGGGGTCAATGTGGCAATCAAATTAATTCCAAGTTTTGCATATTTTCAAGACCTCAAAATACCTTATCTACCCAAGCGTTTCAAAATGCTGGATCATATAAAGTGATTCACTATACCTGATTGTGATGCCAAACGTGGGTGCACCATGGAGAAATATTACTTTTGTCTTTAATACTTATTATCAAATTTATTTTTATTATTTTATTTTATTTTAAGGGCATTTGGTTCAAAAGTCCAAATTTCAATTTTATTCGCCCAAAGGTCCAGGCGTTGAAACACTTTGTCCAAAAGGACCCGTTCAAACGAAATGACTCAAATACCCTTTCTTATATATAGTATACACCACAGTCCCAAACTCCCAAACCATCTCTCACAGCTCTCTCTCTCTGTCTCTTATCCATTGACAGTCCCAAACCCTCTCTCACTCAGATCTCTCTGACGACAATATCGCCGCCGTCCACCATCCTCTTGCCACGGCCGAAGTAGCTAGTCGGGACTCAAGATACGCTCCATGATGATCTCGCCAACCGTATATCTTGCCGGCGTCCACGGTCCTTTTGCTGCGGCTGAAACAACGGTGCCATTGCGCCTATCAGCTCTCAAATCCTCTCACCGCCTCTCTATTTCGTCATCGTGCAGTCAAAGAGTGCTATAAGTCATCATCACCATCTTCAAAGCTCAAAAACAGATCTATATGAGTCATCATCATCATCTTCAAAGCTCAAAAATAGATTTGTTTCATCATCCTTGAGATTTGTGTTTATATATACTTTTCGAAATCAGATATGAGAAATATATATATATATATATATGCTTATCTATATATATACATATGAATATGATTTTTTCAGATCTTTTTTTTTTTCCTTTTCTTTTAAAGATTTGAGTTCAAATTTGGTAAAGGATAATCTCCGTGTGTGTACAATAATCATCCAGATCCTCCTCTCTTTTTTTTTATTTTTTATTTTTTATTGGTAGTTGTTGTTGATGATGATGTGTAGCAGTTGTTGTTGGTGATGATAAAACTTATTGTAGATCCATATATTTGTTTTGAACAGACAACAGGTGGTGTTTCCGCGAGGAAAGACCGACTAGAATTGTTGATTTTGAACAAATATATAATAGGAAGGGATATAGTTTTCAATATAGATTTTTTTATTGTTGTTAGATTTTCAACAAATAGATTTGTTATTGTTGTTGAACAGATAATAAAATTGGAATAAATA